TGTTATGCCATACTCCACGGATTAAGTACTAAGTAGTATATTTTATTAGTGTACCTATGCTTTATAATCTATGATATATATTAGGTAATAAGTATATCTAGGCAGTAGGCGGTTACGAATTCAAAATTGTTTACCTATATATTATGATTTATTAATATTAATTTTGTTTTTATAAAATAAGACTGTATCAATAAAACATCTTAATTATTACAAGTGGTTATTTAATTAATACTTATTAAGTATAGATTATGTTTTTGTTATAAATAGTAAAAAAAAAGTTATAAAAATACGATTTTTTTTTTTATCAACTATCAAATATCAAAATATTGATATTAATGTTTAAAAATATTGATATCATTAAATTGAAATATGATACATCGATATTGATATTATCGATATTATTTTTATACAGAACATGCCTAGTCCACGGTTGTGTTGTTCTGTAGGGCTATTTTTATTTTATTTTAGTGAAATTATTATCTTTGTAGTAATATGATATTCCAAGTATTTTTGGACTATTGAAACCCGATTATCGCGAAAAAAAATTAGATAATCAATTTCATAGATTATAAATAATAATAATTATATTTCATATATATAAGTTACTGAAAGAGTTCTTTTCAACACGTATTGCCCAAATTTCAAACTTTTTAATAGTTCCTTCGATTTTATCCTCAATGTGAAAAACATCAACATAAATTCCTTGTAAACTCAAATTTAGTGTATTCAAGTATTCAAACACATCAGCCAAGTAAGCTATCCGAGACAGCCAAGAAATATCAGTTAAAAAGCCTACAAATCTGGTTTCAAGAAGAAATAGTCGAACTTCGTCTCTTAGCTCAAAAAAACGTTGAAGAATTTTTCGGATTAATAAGTAGAAAAGTTCTTTTGATAAATAAATGAATGAGTTATTTACCTGAACTTTATTCATATCATTCACAGTATTATCTTCTTCTATTTCACATATAGGCCTTTTAAGTGAACCAGACTTTAACCATTGATACATTATGGTTATTCGTTTAATTTTGATATACAATGTATAAAAAAGGACACACGGCACTAATCGCTGACCAGTAATGACTGAGACTACTAAGTAATACTAATGTTGATCATTTACTTTAAATTATGTGTCCGAAATATATTTTATTGGTTAATGGAAAGAAAATAATCAGTATGGTTTCACGTTCTAAATTATAGTAATATAGTGTAATAATGAAGATAATAATGATATTATATATATATCTATCTATAATATATCTACATATATATATATATTTATATATATATATTTATATATATATATTTATATATATATATTTTTAACTGATTTTTCTTGGCTGTCTCGGATAGCTTACTTGGCTGATGTGTTTGAATACTTGAATACACTAAATTTGAGTTTACAAGGAATTTATGTTGATGTTTTTCACGTTGAGGATAAAATCGAAGGAACTATTAAAAAGTTTGAAATTTGGGCAATACGTGTTGAAAAGAACTCTTTCGGTAACTTTCCGACATTACAAGCTTTTTTGGAATCTTCGTGTGAATGTCTATCTCAGGAGGTAAAGAGTGAAATATCTGAACACTTGTTGAGTATGGCCAAAATATTAAGAAAATATTTTCATCAACCTGACCCAAATAATACATGGATAAGAAATCCATTTTCCTGTGATATTGAAAAAATAGAAAACCTCTCTGAACAGGAACAAGATGAATTAATTGATTTAGTAACAAATGGAACGATGAAAAATATTTTCAACGATAAAAAAACTAATTGATTTTTGGTTAATTGTTCAAAATGATCAAAAGCAACTGGCTGAGAAAGCTTTAAGACATTTGATCCCCTTTTGCACAATATATAGATGTGAACAAGCTTTTTCTACCTACTGTTACATGAAAAACAAATTTCGTAATAGACTTAATATTGACACTGATTTAAGAGTTAAAATTTCAAGCATGCAGCCGGACTTAGACGAAATTATGAACAAAAAGAAAGATTTCACTTGTCTCATAAAGTTTGAAGGTGGTTAATCAAATAATTTTTTTTATAAATATATTATTATTATTATTATTATTTTTTTTTTTTTGAGAAAATTTGTTTGTACTATATTACGAAAATGTTTACAAAATTAAAAATTAAATCATATTGAAAATAAATCGTACCAATTTATTTCTCATTTTCATAATTAAATAAAATTGAAAAGTATTTACAAAAAAGGGGTCCGCGGACCAATTTAAGTTATAGCTAGGGGTCCGTGGCTTCATACTAATTGGGAACCGCTGTTATAGACTACATAAGACTACTGAATCGCATTCCCTTGTAGTGAAAACTATTTCAAATATGCAGTTTTATCAGTACAAGAAAAAGAAAAACTAATAGAACTGTAAACGGATTCTTCACTTGAGGCAGAATTTGAAAAAAAATCTATAATCGCGTTTTGGGTTGACTTGAAAAAAGAATATCCTAAGCTATCATGTAAAGCAGCGGTTCTCAAACTTTTTTTTTTCGCGTACCACTTGAGTATATTATCAGTCACGAACCATTAATGATTAAAAATAGAACCATACAAACTTCACATAGTTAAATACATTTATTTTAAATAAAAAGGCAGTAAAATACTAAAATGAAATTATTATTCATTTATTAATACAAATTTATTAATGTTTTTAAATTAATATATGAGTTAAATATTTGAATTTTTAATTTCTTTTCTACCACCATCCAGCCTTTCGCGTAGCACCATTTAGTCTTTCGCGTACCATTAGTGGGACGCGTACCACAATTTGAGAACTGCTGATGTAAAGCATTTAATGTTCTACTACCATTTACAAACACTGTGTTGGTGGAAAGGGTCTTTTCTACGTACACATTCATAAGAAATAAATATCCTAATAATTTGTCAGTAAGTTCTGGCTTATGGGTCTATTTATCATGTGTGGAGCCAGATTTAAAAAAATTAAGTTCATGCAAACAAGCTTAAGATTCACATTAAAATAAAATTATTAAGTTGATATTAATATTTTTATATACATTGCGCAAACTAATTAAAATAAATTAAAATTTTAAAATTTTCCTTTAAAATTAATATTATTATTTTCTATTATTTATATTTTAAATTGATATTTGGAGTACGTGAATGGTGAAATGTATGGGTGTAGCTAAGATTTGAATCAGGGGGAGGGGCAAAAACATACAGCAATTAGTGTTAAACATTTAATTTAAATAATCTACAGATAGACCATTGGATAACACATAAAACGTCATAACGATTACACGTGTAGATAACACTCGGTCCCACTAAACTATTTTTAGACTTATATCTTATTTAATTTTTGATTTTAATGTAAAACTTACACATTTGGTGTAAACAAATATAATTAATTTTGAGGTACAGGGGGGGCAAGTAACCCCACTTCCCCCACTCATTATGCCCATGGTGAAAGGTCAAGGGGTACATGAATGAAAAAAGGTTGAGAACCACTGGTATATGGTTTAAGGGTTAGATACCAGCTACTATATTAAATTTTATCAGTTATGTAAAAACTATCAAACAATAATCACATTTTATCCATACTATGCATAACTATGCATAATTAGTGAATCACTAATTGTTATCAAAAATACGTTTAAAATTTAAATGTATAAAAATCGGTGTATGTCAGAATGATATGGAATAATATACATATTTCATATATTTTACATTTAAACTATAAGCACAATTTGTGGGTGGACTATAGGGGGTTTAACCCCCCACTATTCTATTCGATATACATTTTCCATTTCCCCTGGTAAGAAATTTAAATTGCACCTAAAATTTAGGCCATTGTCATTCTAGGCGGAATAATCGCAATGTGTAGTGTTTTATTTTTTCCGTACGGAAATATCGTTGCAATGTGTCCACTAGTAATTAAATAATTAAATTTTGATAATACATTCCTTCTACCGCTGAAATTCCTTAAATGTGACATTTATCTTATTATAGGAAAGTATAATACACCTTGGGCGAGGTATTCCTATTTAGTCTCAATTTATATTTTAGTAAAAAATATTCACATAAAGCTCGATTCACATTAGTGGTCTCGATTCGATCCGGTCACGGTTCGATCACGGTCAAATCAACATCGATAGTACGTAATCCAACATCATCGTACACACTATCGATCACGGTCAAGTCACAATCAGGTCCAGTCAAGTCTCGACCGGTCGATGCACGATCCAGACCGCCGCGGTCACGAGCTTTTTGATCGAGACCGCCTATTGTGAATAGTCAACCGCCACGCTAATCTCGGTCGTATCCATTGTTTTGATTGTATTTTAAACACTTTTGTACACTTTGTGGCAACATGCAAATATAACTTGACTAATTGTGACCGGTAGTGAGAACTGTATATCATAATTCTTGACCGTGACTTGACCGTGACCGGACCGAACCGAGACCGCTAGTGTGAATCGATCTTTAATCATGGTTGTATTATTATATTGTTTTAAATGTTTGGATAAAAACACTAAAAATTCGAGTATAAAATTAATTATAATATCTAGAAAACCGTAAACCGTAGTTCCGGGAATACGTGATGTAGTCGATATTAGGACTGCGCGATTATTTTTTTCCCCACAATAATCGAATATTAGTTAAATGTTCGATTATAATCGATTAATCGAATAATCTGAGAGTATTACGATTTTTATCCGAAATGACGAATAATCGAACACTCGAATAATCGAATAATCGAACACTCGAATAATTGAATAATCATACTTATACTACACAATGTATTAGTGTTCTAATAATAATAATTTACCAATATTAGTAATCAAATAAATAGTCTGGTTTATACGATTTATTCATAAAAACATAAAATAAACTAATACAACAAATATGAACTGCCGTTTACCTTAAGGGTCAGTCTTAATCTTGAAGTTAAATTAAAATAAAATAATATTTAAAACACTGGTTTAGCTATATAGTCCTTATTCATAGTTAAAAAAATAAGCTGACTGGCATGTTCATTAGTTAACGATGATCTATGATCAGTTAATATACATCCCCCTTTACTAAAAATACGTTCAGACGCTACGCTTGTAGCTTGAATGGTCATAACTTTTTTTGCTGAAACGAACATAATAGGGTAAGTTGTCTTGTTTATGTTCCACCAATCTAGTGGATCTTGTTCAACACCAATTTTTGGATTGTTAATGTATAAGTCCAATTCATTTTTTATTTTTTGGCTTAATGGAACTTCCTACAATGATAAAATTAAAAAAGTAGTAACAATAAAGTAAAATATTTTATCTTCAAATTCTTACTTGAAAATTATCCATATTATTATTTTCAGGAGTACCAAAAATTACAGACAACCCAGTTTTTGGTTTTTTTTGTGATGCCAGTTGATTAGAAATATTGTTGACGTAACTATTGTTGAAACAGCAATTCAATAATTATTTAATTATGTTATCAACATTATATTATTATCATATATCAAGTATCAACTATTGATTATTGTTATTATTACTATTGTGTTTTTACCTTTTGAGGTTATAAAATTTTTTTGTTGTAAAAAAAAGGTTAAAAGTCTAAAAGCATGTGAGCATTAAAAATGAATTTACATATTGAAGAAAGGTGGTCTTCTCTTATTACATTTCAATAGGTTATGGGCCCAGGCACAAAATAAACTGCTAAGAAAAGTTTTACAGAGTAAATATTTTTTTTTGTCAGTTTCTTTTATAATATATTCAATATGTCACGAAGGGAAGACAGATTCAATATAACACCATTTGAAGGAACGAATTTTCCAACTTGGCAATTTCGTGTAGAATCATTGTTAAGGGCAAATGGGGTGCTAGATGTTCTTAGTGCCACCCGCCCAGTAAAAGCCGAAGAGCAAGTTGCGTTTGACAAGAGGGATGCAAAAGCTACAGACTTGATAATACAATGTACCGCTGACACTCATGTTGAGTATGTTCGAGGAGAATCAGCAAAGGAGATCTGGAACAAATTAAAAACTACATTCGAACGAAAAGGTACATCTAGTCGTTTATATTTATTAAAAAAATTGATTACAATGAAATTTGATGATTATGAATCAATGGAAACTCATCTGAGTCAGTTTGATGATTTACTTAGACAAGTTAGACTATCTGGTGGAAAATTAGATGATGATCTAATTGCATGCATGCTCCTTTTAACGTTACCTGATTCATTCAACATGGTGATCACAGCAATTGAAACTTTGTCATCTGATAAAATAACACTAGAATTTGTGAAATCGAGGCTTTTAGATGAAGAAATTAAAAGAAATTCAAGATCAGATTGTTCAACAGGAAAGGATAACGCAAGTGTTAAAGCTGCTTTTGGCACATCCACAAATCGTTTTCCTTTTAAATGTAATTTTTGTCATAAACCAGGGCATAAGAAGCAAGATTGTTGGAAGTGGAAACGACAACAAGAAAATACAGATAAGTCAGTCAATATGACTGAAGAAAATGATTTTATAGCTTTTATGGTCTCTCCACATGATCATGTTGTTGATAATCATTTAAATATGTCATGGTTCTTAGACTCTGGTGCATCTGATCATTTGATTAATGATGAAAGTTATTTTAGTGTTTCAAATGAACTGAATTCCCCGATAACAATCGGCGTGGCCAAGAGCGGAGAAAGCTTAAAAGCTTTCAAAGTAGGCGAAATAAACGTATCTCAAACGTTAAATGGTAAAACTGTAAGGTGTTTAATTAAAAATGTATTGTATGTTCCGCATTTAAGAAAAAATTTATTGTCAGCCGGGAAAATTGAGCAAAACGGTTTGTCGATTGTATTAAATAATGGAAAAGCAGAGATTCATAATAAAAATGGTCGAGTAGCTGAAGGCATAAGAAAAGGTACATTATATGAAGTTGTTTTTAATGTAATTAAAGCAAATGCATATTCATCTGAAAAGGAAAGTAATTATGATTTATGGCACTACCGATTAGGTCATATGAACCATCAATATACAAATCGACTGAGTTCAATGGTTGATGGGCTGAAATTAAGTAAGTAATTAAGTAATTGATGGAATGTTTTGTCGAATTTGTGTAGAAGTTAAACAGTCTCGTTTTCCATTTAAAGGAAAACGAACTAGAGCTAGTAGACCCATAGAATTAATTCACAGTGACATTTGTGGACCAATAAACCCACCTACATGGAATGGTAAAAAATATTTCATTACATTTATAGATGATTTTACCCATTTTACAGTTGTTTATCTACTTACTAATAAAAGTGAAATGTTTGAAGTATTTAAAGAGTATATTGTTATGGTAGAAGCTCAATTTGGTACAAAAGTTTCTAGACTACGATGTGATAATAGTGGGGAAAATACTTCAAATAATATCAAAGAATTTTGTGTTCAAAAGGGAATCCAAACCGAGTTAACCATACCATATACACCAGAACAAAATGATCATGCAGAACGTATGAATAGGACATTAATTGAAAAAGGCCGTGCACTATTACTTCAGAGTTCTCTTGGAAAAGAAATGTGGGGAGAAGCTGTCTTGACAGCAACATACCTCATCAACCGTTCACCTAGCAACTCAACATTTAATAAAACTCCAGCTTAGCTTTGATTTAAAAGGAGGCCAAACATTTCAAATTTAAGAGTTTTTGGTTCTATTGCACATCTGCATTTGCCAAACCAAATAAGAACAAAGTTTGATAGTAAGTCTAAAAAGTACACAATGATTGGATATACAACACACGGCTATCGTCTTTGGTGTCAAGAAACAAAAAAAAATCATAACAGGTAGAGACATTATTTTTGAAGAAAATATTAAAGATCAAAAGGTAGTTTCAAAAGATATTGTCGCCTATTATCCAGATAAAGATAGTTTCGAAGACAACCCAAACGAGGAGAACACCAAGGACATCAAAACACATAGTTGCATAGAGCAAGAAAAGGAACAAAATGATAAAAAAAATGAAGAGCAGGATATTAGACCACAAAGGACCATTAGAGCACCAAATTACTTGCAAGATTATGATACATCCTATTTGGCAATGGCTTTATCAGCTGAAACTATAATAGACAATGTACCAACAACATATGATGAAGCTCAAAGTCATCCAAACAAGAAGGAGTGGAATCTAGCAATGAAATTAGAAATAGAATCTTTACACAAAAATAAAACATGGACACTTGTTAAAAAACCACCAAATAGAAATATAATTAGTACAAAATGGATTTTTAAAATTAAGAAGAACGGTGAAGGACAAATAATCAAATATAAGGCCAGACTTGTTGCCAGAGGTTTTTCACAACAAGAAGGACTGGATTATACAGAAACCTATTCTCCAGTAGCAAAACTCACTACATTTAGGTCTCTGTTAGTTTTAGCAGTTCAAAGAAGTTGGCATCTTTACCAGTTAGATGTTAAAACAGCTTTTCTACATGGAGTTGTGAATGAAGAAGTATACATTGAACAACCTTGTGGTTTTAGTAAAAATAATAATCTGGTATGTCGACTTCACAAGGCATTGTATGGTTTAAAGCAAGCATCAAAGTGTTGGAACTATAGATTTCATACATTTCTAAAAAAAATTGGTTTCACTAGAAGTAACACAGATCATTGTTTATACACTTTAGATTTTAATGGTCAAGAAGATTTAGTACACTTGCTGCTATATGTTGATGACATCATTCTCGCTAGTGGGAGCATTAAGAGAATTAATGAACTCAAGTGTCTATTAAAAGAAGAGTTTGAAATTGAAGATTGCGGTATTCTAAATTACTACTTAGGAATTAAAATTGAACATAATGTGGATAAAGCAGAACTTAAGATAAGTCAAGGTCAGTATCTTAAAAATGTTCTTCAGCGTTTCAACATGTCAGATTGCAAACCAAGATCTATTCCAATTGAGACCAAACTTGATTTATCAATTAACACACTTACAACGACATCTTGTAGTCAGCCGTATAGACAGCTCATAGGATGTCTCATATATGCTATGTTAGCCACATGACCAGATCTAAGCTACTGTTTAAACTATTTTAGCCATTTCCAAAGTAAACCCCAAGAAGTTCATTGGGTGCATCTAAAAGGTGTTCTTAGATATATTAAAGGAACATTGGATTATTCAATAATTTATAGAAAACAAAGTATTACAACAATACTTGAAGGCTATGTTGACGCAGATTGGGCTAATCATGAAGATAGAAAATCTGTGACAGGATATATATTTAAAATGTATGGATCAATAATTTCTTGGTCAACCAACAATTGCACTCTCAACTACTGAAGCTGAATATATGGCGGCCAGCTATGCTACTTGCGAGGCAATATGGTTAAAGAATATATTAAAAGATTTTGGAGTTGAATTATCTGAACCAATAACATTATACGAAGATAATCAGAGCTGTATACAGCTATCACAAAATCCAAGCCATCATCGTCGAACAAAACACATAGATATTCGCCATCACTTCATCCGGGAAAAGGTTGAGGAAGGTGTTGTTATGCTAAGATACATTACATCAGAAAATCAACAAGCAGACATTCTGACAAAAGGATTACCAGTCAATAAATTCAATCATCTTGTCAAACTAATTATGAATTGAGTGGGAGTGTTGAAACAGCAATTCAATAATTATTTAATTATGTTATCAACATTATATTATTATCATATATCAAGAAGTATCAACTATTGATTATTGTTATTATTACTATTGTGTTTTTACCTTTTGAGGTTATAAAATTTTTTTGTTGTAAAAAAAAAAGGTTAAAAGTCTAAAAGCATGTGAGCATTAAAAATGAATTTACATATTGAAGAAAGGTGGTCTTCTCTTATTACATTTCAATAACTATCACTTTCGATACACTAGTATGTTGTTTCACAAAATTCAGCGATGGTTTTCTTTAAAACCGATAAATCAATATACTTAATGTACTCGATTTTGAACCAAGGATCCAATATGGTAAACATAATCAGTAATGCGTTATCTTGATAGCGTTGATCTAGAACCTCAATAATAGTTGTATACATGTTTTTAATTTGTCCTCCATTGATGTCCGTATCATCACTTTCATTTAGTTGTGTTATTTGAGATAATTTTGATTTAAGCGAAAAAATAACTGGTAGTACAGCCGAGCCCGTGATGTATGAATCGCCAGCTAAATTATCAGTTATTTCCTTGATTGGCTGTATAATACAACTTAGTCTATATTCTCCCCAGTGTGGTCTTCCGACAGTTCAATGCAACCCAAACAGGCTGAAGTTAATTTGAAATTATCGTTGATAAAATGGCACGTGAAACCAATAAACGGTTGGTTTGAACTTGAAGTCCTGCAGTCCGTGGTAAAAGTAAAAACATCGGCGCTCCTAATTATGTTCCCTATAATGTTACGTGTTTCACTATACATAGACGGAATTCGGGATTCTGTAAGAGTTTTTCGACCTGGTAGCTTGTAGCTAGGATTTAACGCATTTACAAATAGTTTGAATCCATCCTTTTCCACTAAACTGTACAGACTGTACGGCATCATATTTGTTGCAATGAAATAGGCAAGTGCATTATCAATTTTGATTTTTGCATTTTTATTCAGAGTGAATTGCGTCATTTTCATTTGTTTAGTTAGAGTTTAATTTGTTTTGTGAACAATGGCTATTGATGAGGGGTCAGTAATAGGAGACGGATAAATACATGAATCAGTTGAATCTGATTGACCTAAATCTGGTTCATAATTTGAAGTAGAAGGTTGTGATATTAATGAATTTGATTCCTCAATCTCAGACCTAATAAAAATATTATGAAATAGGTAAATGTATATTTAGATCGGATTAACGAGCAGTAAATCGATTTTAAAGCAAATTTAACAGTAAAGTCCGCACAATTACGATTAATAAAAAACCCAGTATTTGATTCGTTTTATTAATAACCATTTGAATATGACAATCGAATTTTAATTTTGTAAAAATCTTGTAAAAATTTTAACTTAAAATGCTCATAACAATTTATTTTGAGTTGTTTATAAACATTTTTTCATTGATAAAATTAGGCAAACTTATGAGTGAGAAATCTTGTGTTACATTTTCAAACCTTAGATTTAAAAAGAAAAGTTTTTATGAATCGTGCCTATGTATTTTTAATATTTTCTATCTGCTATTAGATTAACTTATGAGGAACCTTGTATTAATTTTTTTGACCCATCGAATAAAATATTTGGTGTAAATTTTAAGTTTCTACAATTATTAGTTTTTATATAACAACAAAATAAGAATATCGGTACAACAGAAATTGAGTGTATATCTAATATTGTAATTCAAATGCTCATAAAAATTTAATTTGACTTACTATTTTACTATTTTCGGTAAAATTCAAAATTCTTAGCAATCGTAAACTCGTGAAAAATAATTACAATTTGTGTGTATTTTAAATCAAATTTATATTGAACTAATATTTTACTATATTGAATCATGATCTACATTAGAGCTTATAAGTGTTTACTTACTTATCTTCGTCTATGGAAACATTGGAAACGTCTTGATTAAATGCACTTCCTGATAATCCCATTCGAATTCGATCAAGTTCAATAAATTTTGGCTTGTGTTTAAATTTTAAATGGTTCCTCATGTTCGTTGTACTTGATCCTGGATTTGCATATTTCTTTTTACATATTGAGCATTTCACTTTAAGACCAACATCGTCTTTACTAAATACTTGCCATACCTCACTCATATTGAATACTTGGTAGTTGGTACTTAGTACTAATGAAATAAATAATAAATATTTAATTATATGAATTCCTCAATGTATATATAAGATATAGTTAGCCACTAGTAACTACTATAACTAGTAGGTAGTAAGTACTTACTTTCGTTGTTTTGTATTTCTGTAATCTGTATAATATATTATTTGGTATAATTATTAAAATCCACATGTGCTGAATGCTGATGGAGAATGGAGACGAACTAGTAACGAATTAGTGTTTACCGTCCGACGTCCGTACTCCGTGTAAACAAGAATAATTCAATAAGAAATATTACGAATATTACGAATGAATAATAAAATATAAATAGCATCTAATAATTAACCATAATCATTATTAGTTTATTTAGATTATAAATATAAAATGTCATTGTATAATTTGGTAGATCCGCGCAAACATGCAACACTTATAATTATTGTTTTATTTTTATTTAATATTATTTGTTTTTTTTATTTAAAAATAGATAACCTCCGGCGGCAGCAATGCCATTAGGAAGACATATATTATTTGTTATATTTAACTAAAATACCTATACCTATTTTTTTTTTGTTTTGAAATGTTATGCTTGGTTATTAGATTATTCGATTATATTCGATTAATTCGATTATTCGATTATATTCGAATATTAATCGAATAATCGATTAAAATAATTAATTAATAAAAATAATCGCACAGCCTTAGTCGATATACGAGCGGTGAGCATAATAACGCGATAACGAATCTCTCATGGCCGGGACACACTATTTATACGTCACATCTTAACATGGCTTTATATACCGCGCCGTGGTAAGACGTGTGAGGCGGCGCTGTACACATTAATACAACGCGTGTGATAGCATAGTATACTAAAAATATTTAGGTTACAGACTTTACGCACTAATTTTTGTCAGTCAGTACCATTTTTCTGTCGAAAGAAGCAAAATCAACTTTATTTTTAAATTAAAAATTGTTCTTTGTACTTCATGTATAGGTACACTAAATTAAAACATACCTAATAAACATTTATTTTTCTTATTATGTATTATGTATAACTGCTTAAGAAGTATAGGTATGACGCGAATAATAATATGTCAATATGCTAGTTAGTATTCCTTATTATAAATTATTAAAAACTTAATATCTTACCTGACATTTGTAAATTTGCACTAATCTCTTCCCATGCCTCTTTACGAATGTTATTATCTTTATAGTTGACAGAAAAAATGTCGTATAAAGATTTATGTTTCCGGAAATTTTCAATTAATGACTCATCAAATGAAGACATTTTAAAAAGATCGTAGAATGATTGTATTTTAAATAATACGATACTATCACACGTCACACATTTTCAAAAATATTTGAAACGCGTGGCGTGAAATTGAGTAAAAATGCGTTGCGTGTTATAAATATGATCACAAAATCGAATAATATTTAAAAATAAACGCATTAACACGCGATTTAAAATTATCGGCGTGTTAACGCGTGGCGTGTAAAGACGTATTAAGACGTGGCGTGTGAATAGTGTGTCCTTAGCATCAGACTAATATTCATTTACTACTAACAAGTTGACATAGTTCAGATATAAATGCTATATGAAATGCCTAAATATTACTCCTTAAGGGGATTCAACATCGACGTTTAAAAGAAAAAAACGCTCCAGAG